AATTAAATGACAGTAGATTGTGAGAACATATAGCTTTCATTTTCCACAACAGTTGTCACGATTTCAGGTTTATGCAAACCTGTAAACAAGATAATTTACCCTCTGAAATGTAGATTAATTCTGCATCGGCCCTCATATCTATTCCTCATATGACGTCACAGAGACGCCCCGTTCTGATTGGTTGAAATTTCGCTCGCGGGTGAGAATTTTGCATTGTTGTCAAAAAGGTCGATTTAAGTTAATTAAAGACCGAAGTGAGTAGTTTTAATAACGGGGTTTCATTTATAGCGATGCCAGTTAGAGATTTATGTATTTGTACCCCCCTAGAGTATATGTGATCTTTAATAATTTACCTTTAATTATTATAAAAAAACTATAACTTGATTTAGTGGCTGAAATAGTGTGACTTAAACTCACTCACTCACCAAGAACCGAGTGAGTTAATTATCATGTTTTCATGACAGAGCCCAATGAGATAAATGGGGTCTTCTCGTTCATCCAGCAGCTTAGGGGGATTAACAGTTATGCTTGCTTGAAGTTCATGTTTTAATTAATTGTCCGGTTTATAGGGATGAACGTTTTAGTCTTTTAAATACTTGTGATAGCTTATGTCAGAATTTTAGTAATCTTACTGATATACAAAAAACTGCTTTTATCCTGTCCAATAGCAATATTTGTTTTATAGCTGCCAAAACCTGCCATGTTAGAGGATTGGCCATGTGCAGTTCACCATGACACCGAAGGGCCACGCACAACAAACCACGTCGAGTGAGTGAGTTTAGTTTTATGCCGCTTTTAGCAATATTCCAGCAATATCATGTCGGGGGACACCAAAAATGGGCTTTACACATTGTACCCATGTGAGGAATAGAACCCGGGTGTGAACGGATGTGTAAATAAGATGATGTATATAAGAGCATTTAAGATGTATTTAAGATGATGTATATAAGAGTATTTAAGATGTATTTAAGATGATGTATATAAGAGTATTTAAGATGATGTATATAAGAGTATTTAAGATGATGTATATTAGAGTATATAGGAGTATTTAAGATGATGTAAATAAGAGTATTTAAGATGTATTTAAGATAATGTATATAAGATGTATATAATATATATATTTATATGATATGGATATAAGGCGATGTAAATTATTAATATGTGTCATGTAAAAATAAAAGTGTTCGATCAATATTCTGTCACAGTCATTCCTTAAACTGAAATGTTTCAAACTTCACAGGATCATACAACACAGTGACTATATATCGCAAGTGACCAAATATCACATGGAACAAAATAAAAAGCGCACCTTTTGTTGTAGGGGATTATCTCGCACCAGTGAACTGGGAGCCTAAAACAAAAGGTGCTGGGTAAGTGAGTATGACCAGATAAGTTGATTACCATGTTTTAGTAAGAGAGCCCACGGGCTGCATTAATAACTGTATAAATGTGTCTGTGATGATGACAGTTTTTGTCAGTGTTCCTAAATGGAAGTACTGAAGAGCAATAAGGGAGGAGTTAAAATCGAATCAGATGGATTTTTGTACGCTAAGAAGGATACAAATAATGGCTCAAGGAAAATTGCATTGGAATGTCGTGGGTCCATGAAGACATCGTTGACAATGGAGAATCCGGTTCTTGTTACATCTCATAGTCATCCAGCAGACGATTCACTTGTAGAAGTCATGACATTCAGAATTCCGATTACGACGTGTACCCCAAGTCCACAATCTTGATGACTGGAATGTCCATGATGTGACCGTGAACAATCAGCAGCGCACCAACAATCCTTCTGAAGTTTTAAATTCCTGTTCCAAGTATTTAATCGGCCATGATTTATTTATTAGAAAAAATAAACATAATATCTATTTCAAAATAAAGTTTGTCATTATTCACACTGTTGGGATTTTGTCCGCAGTGTTGCGACATTTTGTCCTATGGGATTTTGTCAGTTTGGGATTTTGTCCGGACGGGTGTTTGTCCTATCCTCCTAATATGATTTAAACATATTTTTATTCATGAAAATGAATTGGGATTGGTGAACAAGCATTACTGCTTATGTTAACACCGCTCCCATGTAACGTATAATACAACATGAAATGGAGGATTTGACGCCATCGATACTGACCATTGCATAAATATAACATTTTTAAATATATATGAATATATACAGATTACATGAAATACAACTATTCTCTAAGTAGTCATAAGTTAGAGAGTTACAGGTGTGTGTGTCTAACAAGCCATTGTAGAAATATAAATCAATCATGAGAAGGTTGTTGAGTAAATTAAATTATTTTCCTGAGAAAATTTGAAGCGTTGTATCTTTGTTATATAATCGTGGACGGATTCAACTATTTTCTGGTTTACACAGCGAGTAAGTTCTTTGTTTCCCTTAAGAATGGTATCCAGGTTATAACCGGTAGTGTAAAAATACATATTAAGTCTTATCCGAGTATAGTTACGGCAAGTGAGGAAATAGTGTAGGGCATTTTCACTCTGATGTCCACAAGAACAACATGGGCTGTCGATTAAATGTCTGTTATACTTATCGTCGTTTAGGTCGCTACGTATACATCCAAGCCCGAGGCGGCAGTGAACGATTTGGCAAAAACGAGTGCCACAATTAAGGTCAAAGTAAATCTTATTTTCAGTTTTTGTAATTAGGTTTTTAAATTCTGTGAGACTACATGACGCTTTGGAATTTGGTAGGGCATTCCATAAATTTATTGTGGCAGGTAAAAAAGGATTTAGCATAAGAGGCAGTGCGACTTTAAATTCCTTGTTGATGATAGTAAGATGGGGGTTCTGCCCCACATGAACGATGGAGCCGAGCTAATTATAGAAACACATCATGACAAGGTGTGGTGCAATACACGAGGCTATTTTTAGAAATGAAATTCCCCAGTCTAAAGACAGCGAGAGCTGGCTTGTGACTATGATTAGGGAGCCGACTTGTAATCCAGCATTCATCCATAATTTATTGTTTAATGACCATATTCAAGCACGGAGACAGGGCTTGTTTGTAAAGCAGAATAACGATACAGTCCGGGTGGTAGACCGAACGTGATTGTATGTATCTAAACAGGAAAACTGACTCGCAAGTTGTTGGAGGCAGTACTTAACATCTTAAAAGAGATATCAACGTATGGACTGTTATATTTCAGTGTACAATAAATGGGAAAGTCTATACATAGAACAACTTCATACATCTTTTCATACCAAGTATGTATTAAGTGGAATGCAACGGTGAGAGGAACTAGCTCACACATACAGCGAGACGAGGTAGAGTCACCTGTGTAATCAAACCGTTACAGACCTTACACAACAGTACTGCTCGCGGCGTACGGTGAGATCGAAACAAGGTCATACAGTCTGCCAGTCATAGCCTGTGTAAACCGATCGCTTCTGAATGAAACATGGTTTCTTATTAAAACATATGCAATTTATTTTTATATCATTTCTCCTACAACCATGCCCGTGGAAGGATGGAAAGAGTATTTGTCCAGCATTTACTTTAATCCCAAACACCCAGCCTCCTTCTCGGGTTCAACTAAGTTATATCACGTGGTGAAAAAGGAAGGGAAATTTGACATCAGCTTACATCACATCAAGAAGTGGCTCGCTTCTCAAGATGTTTATTCACTTCAGCGACCTCTTAGATTCAAGTTCAAGCGGAACAGAGTGATCTCAACTGGCTTGAACGATCGGTGGGATATTGACTTGGCTGATGTTTCGAATATAGCTTCGGATAATGACGGTGTGAAATACTTATTGATAGCTATCAATGTATTCACACGATTTCTATGGGCGGAACCCCTTAAAATTAAAACACCAGACGCAGTCCTTAAGGCCATGAAGAAGATATTTGCTCGTGCTACTCTTCCACACATTATCAGATCCGACAAAGGTCGGGAATTTGATAACAAGAAAGTGAGATCATATTTAGCAAACAAGGGTTTTACCTACTATGTCACTCAGAATCAAACCAAAGCATCTTATGCCGAGAGAGTCATACGAACCCTTAAGGCGACTATGTACAGATACTTTATTTACAAACAATTGTACCATTATATTGACGTTTTGCAAGACTTGGTGAATGATTATAATCAGAGACCTCATAGGTCGCTGAATGAACGTTCACCCATTGATATCAACGCAAACAATGAATCTGTTGTTTGGAATGAACAGTACATTAACCCACTGATCAAACAAGGCAAACCCAAAGCAGAGAAGATAAATGAAACCAGAAGAAAAGCCTTTAAATTCAAAGTAGGGGATCAGGTGGGACTGTCACATTTGAGACATGTCTTTCAACGTGACTATCAGGAGAAATGGACGGAGGAAATCTTTCTTGTTAGCAGACGATACTACAGGGATGGGATACCAGTCTATAAAGTCAAGGACATGGCTGAGGATCCAATCACAGGTACATTTTATGCGAGTGAACTTCAGAAAGTCTATAAGTCTGCAGACACCATGTTATGCTGAGACACAGGAGACATAAGCACATTAATGATTATGAAAATCCGCCGCCGCGGACGCAATTACCCCCGCCGCCGCTGCCACAGACACAGACGCAATTACCACCGCCACAATTACCGCCGCCGCAGACACAATTACCGTCGCCGCCGCAATTACCACCCCTGCCGCATAACTCAATGTATAAGCAACAGCGAAACCACAATCAATTCAATGATAAAGAACATTTCAAGTTTACCATCCCCTCTAATGCAGTTGTGGTGGGCCCTACTGGCAGTGGCAAATCGATGTTTGTCTACAACCTTCTCACACATGGAAGTATACAGCCAGCACCTAATCACATTGTCTGGTGCTACACCCAATGGCAACTCCTGTACCAGGTGATCAGTGAACAGTTGCCCCATGTGAAGTTTGTGAAAGGAATTCCCTACGATGTACTCGACGATACCTACTTGGATGCCAGAAATAACAACATGATGGTGTTGGATGATATGATGTCTGAAGCTAAGGATGACAAACGCATTTCTAAGCTATTTACTCGAACCTCTCATCATAAGAATGTCATTATCTTCCTACTATTACAAAATCTGTTTCCACGAGGGAAACAGTCACGTGACATAGCTCTGAATTCTCACTATGTGACTCTATTCAACTCACCTGTAGATAGATTACAAGTTCAATTGTTTGCCAGACGTATCTACCCCAACAATGTAGATAGGTTTATGTCAGTCTATGAGACAGCTGTGCAAAAACTCTATGGCAATCTGACTGTTGATCTACGACCTACCACTCTTGAATTAGAGAGATTACAACCTAATATACTAACTAATGCTGACGTACCCTCGGCCTCAAGGATAATAAAAGACCTACCAAGTCCCCCACCAGAATCAAGACACATGGAGGCAGGGAGCACATCTATAAAAGAGGAGCAGCCTGAACCACCTAATCATTTGACTCCAGACACTCAGATAGATAACATCTCCAAGCTGGTTGAGAATACTGTGGCCTCAGAAGACGAAAACATGCCCTCCTGTGACGACTGTGGTATTGTATTTGAAAACAACCATGACCTTCAACGTCATGTGAGGACCTGGTGCCCGGAAAATGGTGGGGAGCCTCTGCAGAAGCGAGCTAAGGTGGATGCAGCTGATGATACTAAGAATGATATCCTGCGTCCAGTAGAGACAGGTACTAAAGTGAAAGGCATTGAATACATGTGGGAACAAACTTTGAAAGCTTGTAAGGAGGACATCTGGAAGAAAAAGGAGGACTTTCAGGATAAAGGAAAGGTTGAGTTGAGTTGAGTTGAGCTTTACGTCACATCGGCATTTTTCCAGCCATATAGTGACGAGAACAAGTTTGCATTAGTAAATATTGTAAGTACATACTCGGAATGAGTTTTATTTCAAAGACATTTATTGATTACATTGTCATTCAAAAGCAGAAAAAAGTCATAGCATCAAATTTAAAAGCAGGCGGATTGTTACATTTCATAGTTACAATTTATGGTTGTTACATTTCACAGTTACAATTTATGATACAGATCAACTTCCCTCAGGTAGTTCAGTATCAGATGGGCGCTCACGCGTGAGAACAGATCTTTTAGGTTTGTTGCATCATAATGTGAGTCCCTTGCAGGCGATAAGTCCACGCATTCAAGCAGGATATGCTTGACGGTGAACACCTCATCGCAAGAGACACACATGGGGGGTCCATCTCCATCCGTTTTCAGCAGATAGTCATGTGTAAATCGACTGTGGCCAATACGACATCGTCGTAAAATTACCTCATCGCGTCTTGACTGACAACCCAAGTAGGTATAACCGATTGTTGGCTTCAATTCATGGAGTTTGTTTCTTCCTACTTGAGTGTCCCACCTTTTTTGCATCAGGTCCCGAGTATAGCTTTTGATAGTGGGTTTGTAGTCACTGTATGGGATTAGCAGTGGAGATAGGGGCTTTCGAGAGCTGCTTTTGCTGCAGCATCGGCCTTAGTGTTACCTGCTATGCCGACGTGACCCGGCAACCAGCAGAGGATGATGTCATATTGGCCAGTAGAAAGGTCGTTGTACAGTTCTAATATGTCCAGGATGATTGGGTGACTTGAAGTCACATTTAGAAGTGCTTGAAGGCAGGATAATGAATCTGTAAATACGATGAAGTTTTTGGACTGATTTTGCTGTTGAATGTAGGTCAAAGCTGAGAAGATAGCTTTGGCTTCAGCGGTGAAAATTGAACTGTTGTCAGGGATCCTAGAGGAGACAGTCTTGGCTCCAATGACTGTAGCGCTGGCAACTTGGCCATCGTCCTTGGATCCGTCTGTGAAAATGGATCTGTGAGTGTTATACTTAGAACGTAACTGGTTGTATTCCTGTTGGAACACCAGGGATTTGTTTCCGACTTTTGAGTTTGGTGAGGGTAAGATCGACCTGTGGTTTCACCATTTGCCATGGTGGTGAGGATAGAAGTCGGTATGGTGCAATGATGTCGAGATCAATTTTAGCTGCAGTTATGTGTGGTTTGATCCTGATTCCAAGTGGTGGAACCAGGCTTGGCAGTTTAGGAAATAAGTTTTCATAGAGAGGGTTGAAAACACAATTGTATGCTGGATTGGACTCATTTGAACGTAATTTAGTGATATACTGCAGTGAGAGTTTAATGCGGCGTTGTTCAAGGGAAGGTTCATTGGCCTCTGCATATAGACTGTCTACCGGAGAGGTCCTAAAAGCTCCCAGGCAGAGCCTCAGTCCTTGGTGGTGGATAGAGTCTAATTTTTCTAAATTGCTTTTGCAGGCTCCACCGTAGACAATGGAGCCATAATCTAGTTTACTGCGAACTAATGATCTGTACAAGTGAAGGAGGGTGGTCTGATCCCCTCCCCACTCTGTATTTGAAACTACTTTTAGCAAGTCTAGAGCCTTCAAGCACTTTGTTTTCAAATATTTTATGTGTGGTAAGAATGTCAGGTGGCGGTCGAATATGAGTCCAAGGAATTTGGCCTCTTCTACTACCTTGATGGGAGTACCATCTAAAGTTAGGTCTGGATCCTTGTGTGGTTTGTATTTACGACAAAAGTGAATACAATTTGTTTTGGATTTTGAAAACTTAAAACCATTTTCATTGGCCCATTTTTGGATTTTGTTAAGGCAGAGTTGTAGCTGCCTTTCTATTGCATGCATGTTCTTACCACGACATGAGATATTGAAGTCATCCACGAAAAGGGACCCATCAACGCAACTGTTCAGGACGTTAGTGAGGCTGTTAATTTTGATGCTAAAAAAGTGTGACAGACAGGATGCTGCCTTGGGGGACGCCCTGATCTTGGTGGAAATAGTCAGACAGTGTGGAACCCACCCGAACTTGAAATTGTCTCTTATTTAAAAACCGAGATATGAATTGGGGTAATCTACCCCTCAATCCAAACTCGTGTAAATCTTTTAGGATACCATGTTTCCATGTTGTATCATATGCTTTTTCTAAGTCGAAAAAGATAGATACTGCATGTTGTTTGTTGACAATGGAGTTTTTGATAAATGATTCCAGACGCACCAGATGGTCAATGGTACTTCGGTTTTTTCGGAAACCACATTGGAGGTCACTGAGGAGGTTATTGGTCTCCAGGTACCAGATTAATCGATTGTTGACCATGCGCTCCATGGTTTTGCAAACGCAGCTAGTTAGTGATATAGGACGGTAGTTTGAGGGATCAGTATGATCGCGACCGGGTTTTGGTATAGGGATGATGATGGCATTGTGCCACGAAGGGGGGGGAAGTGTCCGGATGTCCAGATGTCATCAAATATATTTAGGAGTGTTTCCAGGCCTATGTCAGGGAGGTGTTTCAGAAGCTGATAATGGATTTCATCAGCTCCTGCCGCAGTGTCGTGAGCCTGTCCTAGGGCAGTACGTTATTCATGGAGGGAAAACGTTTCGTTGTAATCCTCCCCATTATCAGAGTTAAAATTGACTGGTTTCTTTTCTTGTTGGGTTTGATATTTCTGGAACTGAGGGTTATAATTTGATGAGGAGGAGTGGTTTGCCAAAGTTTCGCCGAGTTTGTTTGCAATTTCTGATTTATTTGTTAGAAGGGAGTCACCATCTTTCAGGTGGTGGACTCCTGATTTTGACCCTTTGACCTTTTGAATCATGTTCCACACCTTGGACATGGGTGTGCGGGAGTTGATTTTTGACACATATTTCCTCCATGAGCGGCGTTTAGTTTGTTTGAAGGTACGTTTTGCCCTGGCATTTGTCATTTTAACAGCATTCAGGTTATGCACTGTAGGATGTTGTCGGAAATATTTTTCCGCCTTCTTCCTATTTTTCCTAGCTTGTTTGCAGTTTGTATCAAACCATGGTTTGCGTATGTGCGGGTTTGCAGAGGACTTAGGAATAGTTTTGTCTCCGATGGCATTTAGGGCGTCTGAAAATAGTTCCATGGGGTCAGGAACATTTCTGAAGTTGTCCGGCTTAAGTTTTTCTGAACATAGGGTTTGGAATAAAGGCCAGTTGGCCTTAGTAAAATTCCATCTTGTTGATGGTGGTTCATCCGTGGGGTTGATAGGAGTAAGAATTGTTGGGAAGTGGTCGCTTCCACAAAGGTCGTCATGGACCGACCATTCAAACTCATTTAAAAGATTAGAATCTGTAAGGGATAGATCGAGAGCAGAGTATGATCGAGTGGCAGGATGGAGGTAGGTGTTTGATCCATCGTTGAAGATGCATACATCATTATTGGAGAGAAACTCTTCAAGGATCTTCCCCTTACTATTTGTATCATTACTACCCCATAGGGGGTTATGGCCGTTGAAGTCGCCCATGATTATGCAGGGCTTTGGGAGTTGATCGTATAAGTTCTGAAGGTCTGATAGGCGGACAGTTGAGGTAGGAGGGAGATAGAGGGAACATAGTGTAAACCCTATGTTCAGAGTTATGCGGACAGCAACAGTTTGTAGGTTGGTGTTTAGTGGAACAAGGAAAGAGTGAACGATGGGTTGAGAAGAAACTGCGGAAATGCTGGCAAACTACCTTTCTTGATAGACTTGCGATAGCCATTCGTTATGCCAGCTATTTTGGATATGGACCCCTCTTCAAGCCTATATTGGAGAAAATCACAGCCATGGACCCTGACATGGACCCCAAAGAAATGGATGCTAAAATCACTCAGTGGATGAAACCTATCGTAAAAGATATTCTCTCCCATGTGGACTTGAGCCAGGCTGAAGATTTAGAACTTGTTGACATGTCTGAGCATGATGATACAGATGATGATGAACTGTGAACTCTTCTACACAAATTTGCATCTATGTATTATATAAATATATGATGTCTCTGTTGTATTACTTGTATGCACACTGTAGTTATGTGTATGTATAACCTTATAACATGTATAGTCATGAACATAAATAATAAAGGATGTAAATAAAGTATATGGTTGATTTATATGTTCTGTCACCAATGAGCTTCACTTGATACTGAGAAAATTTGTTCCTCAAAGATAAAACACAACTCGTAGAATTAAGTCAACCCATTTTATTTCATGAATAACACAACATGATAATCATGCAAGCTATTTACATCATAAATCAAAATGGTCAATGGACATGGATTCATACAAGTATTTATTCACATGAAGATGGTTATAACATGAAAACAGATACAAAGGCTTGTTTGCCTTTACACAGTCATTATGCCAATATTTTTAAAACACAAAATATATTCTATATAATCAAACTGTACATGAGCAAATATGACAATCTTACACTTGTTGTTCAAACTTGCATCCCATATTTACATTCTCCAGTTAAAGTTAGCTTTGTTGACAAGCTATGTTCTGCTTGTAACACATAGACACAGACATTCCCATCTGAGAAAAAGGGTATGAAATGGTTTACTGAGATTTGATCCTGCAGTGACCATGGGCAAGAGTGGAAATACCATCTGTTAGAACATATCATTTGTCATCAAACGGTGAGAGGCTAATTTTGTTGATGGAGGCAGTGTACAGCTGATGGTTCTTACTCTGAATCTGACCCACCTCATGTCTGAATTGTTTCTGGTCAAACAGACACTGTTTGTACAGGGCATGATGAAAGTAGTATATACAATGGGGGTTTTGGACCAAGTCCAACAAAAGCCTCTGCAAAGCCTTATTTCACAAATAAGGCTTTGGTCGGACCCTTAGCTCTTGCTACCATTACCCCTACTATCAAAAAGTTTGAGACGCTAGCGGGATACGAACTCCACATGTATACCCCACAACCGCGCTGCTTAACCGACTGAGCTACCGGGGACTTGGCTGAAGTATGTTGGTTTAACGGGTCTATCCTGGGATTGCATCATCGCTCCACGTGCCGCTATGCCGTGTTGACTGGAGGTAACACAGTGCCGTACGGTACGATCAATAATTCCGCTCTTACAAACCCTCTACCAGGCCCATCCCTCAAGTAGTACAAGTTAGGTTCGTCGGCTTTCATGTCCACTTTATCTATGTTGTAAGTTTTGACTGACCATATAGGATCGGTGGCTCGCTTACGGCTATCACCCTCGTGTTCCCCCGGCTGGTATAGATACCTCACTAGGGCCCTATCTGGTATCTGTTTCTCCTTCCCATGCAATGGAGCAGCCGACTCTGCCACTATTGATTTTAGTTTGATAGCGTCTGCCGGTTTCTTGCCGGTGAGACGGGTGGCTTCATGGTTGATTGCCAACACCACCTTGGGTAACCTCACGACCCATTCAGTCGATCGTTTTCCCGGGTTTGCCATCTCCCTCGCATACTGATGCCCGAATAAGCTCTCAGCCAAAGTTCTATTAAATCTCTCAACTATGGCTTGGCTGCGATGGGCTCCTGCCGTGCCACGCCTGACCTTTGTATCATGTTTGTCTAACAGGTGTGACACGGCACCCATGAACTCCCGCCTGGGTCAACTTGCAGCTCTGTTGGCCACGTCAGCGGACTGCCTTTGTATATGCGTTCGAATCCTCTGGCTATCTGGGCCGAATCTTTTGCGGTCAAGGGTTCGGCTTCCTTGTAGCGACTGGCCACGTCCACTACGGTTAAGGCATACTTGTACCTCTTGTCGTGGGGTAGGAACAGTAGGTCTGCCTGGTGAACGCTATTAGGTATGTTAATACCAAACCTCCTTCTAGGCACGTAGCGTGGTGCCGGTAAATAGATCTGCCACAGGGCTTGTTTTTCAAGCCACGCTTTGGCCTCCTCCGGGGGTACTCGCGCCATTTTAGCCAGCTTATCTACAGCGCTAGCTCCTTTCCAGTACCCACACGGGCTATAGTAAATAGCCTCAAACTTTCTCTGGTTCCGTGACATGTCGCCCCAATATATATAACTATGTTCTTGGTTCAATTTTCTCATGCCCGTACGCGTACGTGTTTATCCCATCAATAGCTATCCAACGTTTAGTGTCCATCGGTGACAGGGACGTCTTGTTTATTGTCAGTCCGTATATCCTATGTCCATCACTTCTAAGTGTGTTCATTTTATGTCTAAAGGTACGGGTCTTGAACAGGGCTTCCTTGAATCTGGCGTGTTTGATGTGTTGTTTCACCACCTACTTCTTAACACCCTTCGCCTTCCGGATCTCACCATTGTCGGCCTTCAGTATGGAGTACATCTTAGGCCTCAAACCTATGTACTCGGCTATGGGCGTGCCAGCACACTCGTCCTTCATCTTACCTAGGACCTTTTTATTTACCGTGCTGTGTATGGCATGGTCCTTGGGGTAGTCGCTGGTGTCGTACAAATCGAGGTGTTTTTTTCATGTCCTCGTACAAGTCCTCGGTTCGAATCTCCATCAGCAGGGAATCCGTATCAGTGTATAGCACTTCACACCTGTCGTCGTACTGTTTCTTAAGCTCGTTGTAGTAAAAGTCGTACATCAGGTGTTTGGATAAATCGAGGATGCTCATCCCCACGTAAACAGGCCGGTTGAATTTTATGTGGCTTTTCTTCATGTGTAGGGCAACTAGGTCATCTGTGAATATTTTACTACGGTTGAATGCTGGACTGGCTATCAGTCTCCTGAGCTTGTCTTCCTCATTCGACCGAACCAGCTTCACGGTCACACGTTTCCTAAGGTTCTCCATAGTCTTACCAAACACCGAGTTGTTCATGAGCTTGTAGAGATTTTTCTCAAAGTCACTGGTGGCAAGCTTTCGGAGGTCTGTGTTCATTCTGATGTAAGGCTCCATCCATGGGCTCTGGTTGAACACGAGCACCCTGTGTATTTTGGTCAGCCTCATACCCAACGACATGTACAGCTGTAGGTTGCGATAGTGAACGATGTACTTGGTCTTATTCATTAAGTTAGGCACGAGTTTTTCAACGTCTGCCACCCGCCCACCTAACAAGTTATGTTGGTACTCAGACATCCAGTTTGGGTTAACCCTCATACGTTCGGGGGCTAGGGGGTAGCTGTTGTGTGATGTGTGTAATGCCTTGGGGTATTCCAAGTCAACCTCGAGGATATAACCTTTGTTCGAATCTGGTGCGATGCTCATAACATCGACCTCATGTGACGCCCATTCGAATCCCCCTGTGGGTAGATACTGGCTCATAGCCCAGCCGTACAGGTTGTTGGCATCGAGGTAGAGAATGTGATTGGTTGGCTTGCTCGGTTCGTAGCCCTTCACGTATTGATTATTTGCTTTCGCGTATCGTTTGGTTGCCATGGAAATCCCGCCTCGCAAGCCTTTCTCAATGAATAAGTGCATGTCGTAATCGGTGAGCAATTCCAACTTAACTCCGGTCTTTTTCAACAAGGCATCCCACGACAGACCTGGGCTGGTGTAATACCATGCGGGGTCGAGTTTATACTGCTTGAAACATGTCCGCCTAAACGTCTCAAACACGTCGGCTAACAGCAGTACATCTGTCCTCAAGTACACCCAGATTCTTACAACCTAGTTTATTCCATACATTAATAGCGTGTGAGTAATCATCTTGGGATATTGCCGAGTCAGTCAGATTGCTCTAAAATTCTCTGATGGGGGGTAGTCTGGTCTCAGCGAACTTGGCCCAACTATCCATGTACTCATAGGGGTACACACCCTTTCTCATCAGCAGGGGTCTAGTCTCGGCGTCTGTGTATCGATCGGTAATAGGGAAGGCATCATTGGCCTTGACCAGACTGTCGAGTGACGACAGTAGGAACTGAATCGAGTCGATGAACCTAAGGCCGTTTAAACTGAAGGAGATGTATCTCTCCATGTTGTTGGGGATACACGTTATATTGCCATCGATTTTCGCGATGGCCTGCATGATTAAGTGAGAGTCGTACCCTCTCAAGTTGTGAAAGACCACGGGGATGTTTATTGTCTTAGGGATGATTCTAAGCTTGAGGTTACACGCGCTGTGAGCGGCGCCTCTATACTTACCGGTTACGTGGCAGTGATCTCTCACCGAATCACCGTTAAGTGGTGAGTCACACACGTGGCAGTTAGTGCTACAGGCGTGAGCTAGCCTGTCGGCTTGGGTCATACGCATGGGAGCGACTCTATACAGTGCGTTCCTAATAATTTTTTCTTCCTCCCGCAAACACTTAAGAAACCTTTCAGCCGCGTCGGGACCCCTATACACTACCGGAGCTTTCGTTTCCCCATCACAACGGACGACCACGTATCCAAACCCACAGGCCTCATGCTCCTGTGTTTTCTGTGTGGTTGGGGTACCCCCAACAACCCCGCCTGTGGGAGTATCCCCAACAGCCCCGCCGGCGGCAGCCTCAACAGGTTTAACCAAGGCTTCAAAGTCGGCGTATATGATATAAGGCACAGACATTTGGTTCTTGTGGTTACCGAATTTTAGGATATTGTCACCTTCCTTAGGCATGTCGACTCGTATAGCCGTCTGCCCCACACCTTGGCAATCCTCCCGGTGGGATTCTAATAAATCAGCTCGTGTGAAGCCATGTAGGCACCGTTCGCAGAAGTGGGTCTTTTCTCTGTGTGCTGATTGGTCATACAACAGCCTGCTAAAGTGTTTTATCCATGTGTAGTGGTACTTGTCACCTCGCTGAATCATGAATATATTGATAACGCGAGGGGGGTTCCCCCCCTGTCCCCCCAGTTGGGGTTTCCCCAACACTGGGCTTACTCTGTGCACTATTGTTGTGTTACCTTCATGCCCAAAGACATTTATAGCTAGATTATTCTGTTTTTCTATTTTAGTTATCTGGGATATGGGGGTGGGTTCATCTATACCATCCCAGTTGAGCCCATCATCTTGGGGATAGCTAGAAAGCCTGTCTGAATGAGTGTCAGCTGGAAACAAGGCTGACCTGATAGCTACCCTCAGGCAATCGTCTCCTCTATTCTTGACGTTG